TAAGTTAACTCTAAAAATACCACACAGCTCTGCATATTTTGTCAAAGCAAGAACATCCAATGTTAGCAGCGTTGACACTAAGTGTCTATGGCAGCGGTCTTCAAACTTGGCCCTTTTATGACTTGTGGACTTCAACTCCCAGGCTGATGAATTCTGGGATTTGAAGTCCACAAGTCATAAAAGGGCCAAGTTTGAAGACCTCTGGTCTATGGAGATTCTAAGTCATCCAGTTCATAGTTATCCCAAAGATGCTTTTTCACGAGGTAATTGGACTTCCTTGTTTTTCCTTGAAGATGTTTCATTTCTCATCTAAGAAGCTTCTTCAGTTCTGACAGAATGGTGTGGTGTGTGTGTGTGTGTGTGTGGTGTGGGGAAACTGAGTCAGAATTGAAGAAGCTTCTTGGATGAGAAGCAAAATGTCTTCAAGGAAAAGCAACGAAAGTCCAGTCACCTTTTAAGAAACGCACCTTTGAGACAACAGCTCTCGAATGTTTTCCTGATCAGCTTTCCTCTTTGGAGGCAAAATGGACGTCTTGGAGCCAACATCTCCAGGAGCTTCCAGATTAGGCCAGCAGGAGGAAGCAAATTTTAAACACACGCTTTCAACCCCCTCCAGCCTGCTGCAGAAATGTTAGGGAAGAACCCTGCTTCCCATACCCCATGTGAGATGGGTTTCTTAGGAGGAAAGTCACGTTGGTTTACGGTAGCCCAAACTCAGTCTGGTAGCACTTTTTGTTCACAAAAGCTTAGGTCTTTTAATAAAAGGTGACTCAGCAAAGGTGTTATCAGGTCTTTAATAATAATAATAATAATAATAATAATAATAATAATAATAATAATAATAATAATAATAATAATAATAATAATAATAATAATAATAATAATAATAATAATAAAGCTGGAAGGGACCTTGGAGGTCGTCTAGTCCAACCCCCTGCTCAGCCAGGAAACCCTATACCATTTTAGACAAATGGCTGTCCCGTCTCTTCTTAAAAATTTCCAGTGTTGGAGCATTCACCGTTTCTGGAGGCAGGTTGTTCCACTGGTTAATTGTTCTGTCAGGAAGTTTCTCCTTAGTTCTAGGTTGCTTCTCTCCTTGCTTAGTTTCCACCCGTTGCTTCTTGTCCTGCCTTCAGGCGCTTTGGAAAATAGCTTGACTCCCTCTTCTTTATGGCAGCCCCTGAGATATTGGAACACTGCTATCATGTCCCCCCTCGTCCTTCTCTTCATTAAACTAGACATACCCAATTCCAGCAGGTGTGTGGTTTTTTTTGCCTTTGCTGCGAACTGTCAGGAAAGGACTCCTTGGATGGAAATTCCAATGTTCCAAGTTTCAAAACTTTTTTGGGGGATGAGAGATTCCATTCAGTTCAAGAGGGGAAGCTTCAGGTAAACACCCTCCACCCTGTCCCAAAGGTAACTTTTTTCCAAAGGCAACTGGACTTCCTTCGTTTTTCCTTGAAGACGTTTCGCTTCTTATCCAAGAAACTTCTTCAGTTCTTCCGAAGTCCAGTTGCCTTTTGAAAAAGCACATTTGGGACAACCATGACCTGGATGACTGAGAATCTCCATAGATACCCTCCATCCTGATGCAACAGCTTTATTCTTATGGCCAAGCTTAATGGATAAAGAACTTGGGGGGGGGGAAATGGAACTTTGATATTATATGTGCTGACAGCAGCAAGAATACTTTATGCACAAAAACAGAATGATACTTTGATTCCCACACTGGATAGATGGCTGCAAAAGTTGATGGAATTAGCGGAGGTAGCTAAATTGCCTGCTTTGATTAAAGAAAAGAATACAATTCACATGGCTTCTACTTGGAAACTGCTTTTGGACTTTGCGCTTGAGGTGGGAAAAAACCAAACTTTGATTTTGGGTTTTGCTGATTAGATAGGATTGCTGTCACAGAAATAGCTGGTGTATATTATTATGTAAAAGTGAAAAGTTAAGGTTTTATGTTATTACCTTATTCTACTGTGCCAAAAGGAGTTTGAAGTCAACATTTTTTCTTTTTCCCTTTACACTTTTTTCTCTCCCCCTTTTCCTTACCTATTTTTCCATTACTTTCATTTTTCTTTGTATTTCTGCATCTTATAGTTTGATAAACTAATAAAAAATACTTGAATCCCTGATCCTTATGGCCGAGCATCCACAGCAGTGTTTCTCATTTATCTAAATGCAGCTGTCACCCTCCTTGGAACTGACCCAGATCTTAAGTGTTAGGAGTCAGATATTCAACTGCTGTTGCCTAGCCAGCTGAATCCATATAACTACTGGAGAGCAACTCCTTTGAACATCTGGCAAAAATGATGGGATGCAGACCACTTACTTTGTCCATCACCCAGTCGGCATCTTGGATGGCCCTTTTGATAATTTGCTGGATCCTCTCAGGACTGTCTTCATCAGCATGAACTTTGAAACTCTATAAATAAACAATTATATAAATAAATATGATTAGGGGAATGGAGGCTAAAGCATATAAGGAAAGGTTGATGGAATTGGGTATGTCTAGTTTAATGAAGAGAAGGACGAGGGGGGACATGATAGCAGTGTTCCAATATCTCAGGGGCTGCCACAAAGAAGACGGAGTCAAGCTATTCTCCAAAGCACCTGAAGGCAGGACAAGAAGCAATGGATGGAAACGAATCAAGGAGAGAAGCAACCTAGAACTAAGGAGAAACTTCCTGAGAGTTAGAACAATTAACCAGTGGAACAACCTGCCTCCAGAAGCGGTGAATGCGCCAACACTGGAAGTTTTTAAGAAGAAACTGGACAGCCATTTGTCCGAAATGGTAATGGTATAACCCCCTGAGCAGGGGGTTGGACTAGATGACCTCCAAGGTCCCTTCCAACTATTATTAGGCAATGGCTCATACAATTGGTGATGGGAGAAGTGAAGGATATTTACTCAGACAATTCAGACAGCAACCTTATTGGTGAGATGGACAGCATATTTTTTTTCTTTTTAATGACCCTGTAATCCCTTGCATTGCGGTGGNCGAGAGCTCCATCTCTAGGCCACCATGTCACTTGGTGAAATGGACAGCATATAAATTAAATTAATTAATTAGAAACCTTTCTTTAAAGGGCCAAAGTCCTAGTGACCACTGCTTTGCCACAGACGATTGAATAACCAGAACAATTTATATCCCACACCTCATTTTATTCTCAACTACCTTGTAAGGGAGATGATATGTACACACATGTAACACCTCTGCTTTAAAAGCTGCTGTGATTACCAGTAAGTTTCTGGCTGCAATTCAAGGTCAGCAGTTCTTTGGCTGCACTTCAAGGCATAAGGCCTGGCCTGGTTGTCTGAGGGCCCTCATCTCTACACTACTTTCTGCCTCTCCTAATAGAATAGAATAGAATAGAATAGAATAGAATAGAATAGAATAGAATAGAATAGAATAGAATAATAGAGTTGGAAGGGACGCTGGAGGTCTTCTAGTCCAACCCCCTGCTCAGGCAGGAAACCCTATACCATTTCAGACAAATGGTTGTCCAGTCTCCTCTTAAAAACTTCCAGTATTGGAGCATTCACAACTTCTGAAGGCAGGCTGTTCCACTGGTTGATTGTTCTAACTGTCAGGAAATTTCTCCTTAGTTCTCGGTTGCTTCTCTCTTTGGTTAGTTTCCATCCGTTGCTTCTTGTAATGCCTTCAGGTTGACCCCCTCTTCTTTGTGGCAACCCTTGAAATATTGGAACACTGCTATCAAGTCACCCCTAGTCCTTCTTTTCATTAGACTAGACATACACAATACCAGCAACCGTTCTTTATTTGTTGCTGAGACCGAGAAACACGTTGTCTCTAGATCAACTTCAGAAAAGGCACCAAGGAAAACCACAGGACGGCGCCCAGCATACCTGTTGGATTGTGTGCTTGTAATGATCCTGGAGGTTTTTTTCAGGAAGGACCCTGCAGCAACGGAGCAGGTAGCGGTACAGCTGTAAAGGGGTCTTCACCAATTCTACCCCTGGGAGAGGAGCCATCCTCCACCATCAACTGTGGAAAGAAAGAAGACAGCATGATGAAGCTGAGCCATTTTCTAGACTGCCCAGATTGCACGAGGAACCCCAATGCCTGCAACAGAGAAGGTGTAGATCAGTGTTTCTCAACCTTGACAATTTTAAGGCATGTGGACTTCAACTCCCAGAATTCCACAGCCAGCAATGCTGGCTGTGGAATTCTGGGAGTTGAAGTCCACATGCCTTAAAATTGTCAAGGTTGAGAAACACTGGTGTAGATGATGGAACTGGTAGCCAAGAGATATCTTGAGGTTGTGGCTGAAATCAAGAGCTCAGGGTTTGAAAGAGCCTCCCTTGCCTTGGGCCTCCTGAACTCCTTGAACTACAATTCCCAGAGTTCTTAACCTGCATAGTGATTGGCTATTCCTGAAGTTGCAGTATGGTGCAGTATGGTGCATCTTTGGGCACCAGATGAGAAAATGCACTTTAGTAGGAGAGGAAGGACTTCATTTGTGGCCATCCACCGTTTACATTTTGGAATTCTTTGGGAACATGGCCTGTCTCTTGCAATGGGCAGGGCCTCCACGGCCACACCATAAGCCACAGAGCAGAAGGTGATGGGAGTCAAAATGTTCCTTTAATAGGTAGAAGGAATGACCTTGAGGAACAGGAAGAAGAGCCATTACGAAGACAACAGTCAGATAAAAGAAACCCGAGTCCAGAACCAAACTGTAACCTGAGCAAACATCTCAGCCAAGGCCTCCATAGTTCTCATGAAGATAAAGGGAGGAAGGGGGAAGCACGTTCAAATTTGCAAGATTTGATTTCTATAACCTCATACAGGTAGTCCTTGACTTACAACCCTTTGTCTAGAGACAGTTCAAAGTTACATCAGCGTTGAAAAAAATGACATAACTGTTTTTCACACTTACGACTGTGGCAGCATCCCTGGGGCCCCGTGATTAAAATTCAAATGCTTGGCAACGGGTTCATATTTATGACCGTTGCAGTGTCCCAGGGGTCATCTGACCACTTTATGCGACTTTTTGATAAACAAATTCAATGGGGAAGCCAGATTCCAACAACCATGTTACTAAACAACTGCAGTGATTCACCAAACAACTGCGGCAAGAAAAGTCACAAAAAGGGACAAAACTCATTTAACAACTGTCTTGCTTAGCAACAGAAATGTTGGGCTCAATTGTAGTCATAAGTCAAGGACTAGTTATAATAAAAGTTACAGCAGCTTGCATGACTTTGGTTTTCTAGTCTGGAGAGTTCCAGGAAGAGAGGGCAGGTGGTGCTGAACCAGGGACTCACAGCCGAAGAAATGGGATTACATATAAGCATTAGGATGTTATTCCTAGTGGTGCAGATGACATTGGAAAGGTGTTAATGAGAATTTTTAAACAGAGCCAGAATCCCATTTTAGCAGATTCTGTAGCAAGGGCAATAGGCCAAATTAGTCCATGACACACAAGTGCACAATACAGGTTGTACTCAAATTACAACAATTGAGCTCCAAATTTCTGTTGCTAAGTGAGACGGTTGTTAATGAGTTTTGCCCCATTTGACAACCTTTTCTATGTTAACAAGCCACACTGTTTAAGTGAAGCACTGCACCTGTTAAATTAGTAACCACGGTTGTTAAATGAAACTGACTTTCCCATTGACTTGGCTTGTCAGAAGTTGCGAAGGGGAAATCACATGACTCTGGGACACTGCATCCGTCATAAATATGGGTCAATTGCCAAGCATTCCTATTTTGATCACGTGACCATGGGGATGCTGCAACAGGCGTGTGAAAACCGGTCATGTTCACTTTTTTCAGTGCCGTTGTAACTTCAAACGGTCACTAAATGAACGGTTGTTAAGTGGAGGACCTCAGAAACTGCACCCGAAACCCAATGAAGCAGCCCACATATTAACTGGTACAAACTGCTGCTCACATGCAACCCCCCGTGGTTGTGGGTCCTTGCGTCAGCTGCCAAAAAGCTTCCAAGTCTGGTTAGTCAGGAGAGCTGTGCGGTTTTTAGAAAGTGACTCAACAAGCAGCACACTCACAATCCTCCTTGTGGATTTTCTCTTTAATTAGCATATAAACAAGAAGCATTTCTTTCTGCAGTTCGGATCTGTTTAAGTCGAAGAGCAATTTCATAAGGCAGAGGCCCCAACCTTTGGGGCACCAGGGACCGGTTACGTGGAGAGAGGTTTTTCCGTAGACCAGAGGGGGCGTGGTTTTGTGTGCTGCCTATATCACGCAGATGGGGCTTTGCTTGTTTGTGCGGATAGGTTGCTGGCATGCCGTGGCCCGGTACTGATCCACGGACCGGGGGTTGAGGACTCCTGTCCTAAGGCATTCATACCAGTCTCTGCTGGACTCTCTCACCTTCCCTTGTCCTTCTGGTAAGCAGAATACAACAAAAACAAAGTCACAGTGATATTGACCTCTGAAACCCCACAAGGCTTGGCACTCAGGTATAGCACCTGCAGGTCTATTGACTTGAAAGGGATTCAACTCATATTGGAATATTCTTTATCGGCCAGGTGTGATTGGGCGCACAAGGAATTTGTCTCCAATGCGTAACCTCTCAGTGTACATACAAAGAACAGAGTGATAAGTCACAGATCATAAGTCGTGAGATATAATCATAAATCATAAGGTACAAACAACAAATGATAAATCATACTAATAGGAGAAGGTGAGAAGATGAGAAGGATACCAGCAACACAGCCCTACTAAATGGGTAAATATCTTTAGGCCTAAGACAGTGCTGTGGGAATTAGGTGTTTAACAGAGTGATGGCACGAAGGAATAAACTACCGTATCTATGTGAACATGCTGCAGTTTTCTTCCCTCCCAGATTTGGGGATGACAAATTTAATGATTTTCAAGACCAAAAGCCATCCTTTGGAACAGAGGTCTTCAAACTCAGCCCTTTTATGACTTGTGGATTTCAACTCCCAGAATTCCTCAACCAGGCAAGCTGGCTGAGGAATTCTGGGAGTTGAAGTCCACAAGTCATAAAAGGGTCAAGTTTGAAGATCCCTGCTTTGGAATAACCTCTAGCTGGAGATATGAATGGCATCTTTGCTCCCTGAGCTTCAGGGAGATCTGAAAATAGGGCCATTTAGAAGGTATCTGGGTCTCAGCATCCTGCTGCTGGACACCAATTCATATCAGTTTTAATTCTACTGCTGAGCTGATTGATAAAGTTATTGTAATACTTTAACAAGGTTCATCCACGTGTTCTTGGGAAATATGGTAGTAAAAATATATTAATAAATGAATTAGTAAGACAAGGCCAGGCACAATTTGGAGGGACAATTATCTAAAACCAGCTCTGATTTACTACTCATTTGTTCCAGCCTGTTACATCTCTAAATTTTAATTGTATTAAAAGTCATGCAGCAAATACACCTAGGGTGCAAAGGTAAGGGTGTGGGTGTGTTTTGTGGATGGGTGATATCGCCTTAACTGATTACTTATTAAGCAAACTTATAGATCTATTTTTCTAAAGAAACTCTGAACTGGAACATTTATTTTTGGCCTTGCTCTTCATCCGATTGGCTGCAAGTCCCAATTCTGCCAGATTAACTACCTAATTTATGTGTCCTCCCCACAAAACTTGATTTTGCCCTGCAAATGACACTTTTTCTCACTTTGGAATCACAGCTCAAATCTGTGGGCTGCCTCCCTTTTCTTTCTAAGTGACTCACTGCGCTGAGTTAAAGAGGAGTAGGAAGCAACCTTATATAAACACGGGGACAATTACTGTACCTGGGGGAATTATCTAAAGTAGAGTGAACTTTTTTTAAAAAAAAAGGTTTTGAGAAGAAAGACCAAGGACTGAATTTCAGTTCCCAAAATAGCCTGTTTGCTCCTATTAGCTTTATAGGTACTCCTCGACTTGCGACAATTGAGCCCAAAATTTCTGCTGCTAAACAAGGTAACTGTTAAGTGAGTTTTGCCCCATTTTATGACCACTGGCCACAGATGTTAAGTGGATCACTGCTCTTGTTAAGTTAGTGTGGGAAGTCAGCCTGCCCAGAGAAAGAAATATTTTTGGGGGGATATTAAAAAGGACAGAATATTATTTCCCCAAAGGAATAATGGACAATCTTAGGCAGGAAACCCCACCCACCCACTCAAAGTCTCTGCCCCAAGAAGAGACCAGGTCTGTAGAAATGCAGATGTGATAATCCTTTCAGAAAGACTGGAGCCAGGAAGCTTAGAGCTGATGGGATTAGAAAGATGAAGATCCCTAGAATCAACAACCCCTCACCGAAAAAATCCAACACAGGACATAGTCATCAGCCACAGCCCCAGGGAAGCAGGACATGACCTTTAGGACATAATAGGATTAACCCACCACCATCAGAATACCAGAAAGGCACACTCAGACTCAGGTCAAAGTTCATGCCACAGGAACAACTCCAAACACAAAAGCCCAAGAAGGTATAAAAACCCACCACTCCCATCAATATGGGGTCAGCTTTCCGAGAGCCACATGTCTGTCTGGCTCTGCTCTTTAATAAACGACAACCTTCTTTCTAAAGCAGTCTCCATTTTGTTTATTCCCGGCTTGGACTGGACCCTGATGAAGATTTTTCTTTCATGGTTGTTAAGCGAAGCTGGCTTCCCCATTAACTCTGCTTGTCAGAGGGTGGCAAAAGGTGATCACATGACCCCGGGACACTGTCATAAATATGAGCCAGTTGCCAAGCATCTTAATTTTGATCACTATACCTTGGGGATGCTGCAATTGATGAGTGAAAAACAGGCATAAGTCACTTTTTTTCAGCACCCTTGTAACTTCACTCAACGAATGGTTATAAGTCAAGGACTGTATTGGAGGGAGGACTAGTTTTGCACCCATGCATTTCCACATGCGTACTTTCTTGCCTACGCTTGTCTTCTCATACTAATGTGGGAAGTTTTATGTCAAATTATTCTTCTGACATTTAACGTTTTTACTTGAAATGGAGTTCCGAATTTTAAAACAAGTAGCAACTTTTCAGCCTCATGG